AGATATTGCCCTTGATGTAAATTGATGTAAATTAATATCATAGACTGATTATGCTTTAGTGTCTCCATAATTTGAGGATGAGATGCAAACAGGAATTCTTATAGATGGCTTTAGATTTTTTTGGTCCTTCTCAATTAAATCGCATATGTTGGTTTCTTTGTTTCTTGAATTCCGCAATATTTTCTTCTTTTTTTTTTTCTTGTTTATTTCTTACTAATAAACACTTTATCGAAAATAAAATGCATATAATTTTATTCTTATAATACATATTTTTAATGTCATAGAAATTAGACATTGTCTTTTCTTTTCTACTGGGAAATAATATTTGAAATTACCTAAATTATGAATCCATTATTTAAATAATATCGAGAATAGCTGTTTAAGTTGTTAAGAAGTAGTTGCGTATAAATAATTGTTAATTAAATTTTGAATATTATTTTTTATTTCAGATAGATTTATTTAATTTAATAATAAATCGACTTGGTTAATTGTTAATATTTTTAATATCGCACAAATGACAAAATAATGTTTTATATAATTATTGTTAATTGCTCAGGTATTGTATGTTGCTGCTATTAGTTTCCAAATATGCGAAGCGAATTGTATTATACCGAGGTATAATAGAAAAGTGAAACCTATAACAAAAGCTGATTCTATAGAATTTTTTCTATGGAATATCTTTCTTACATTCGAAAGTTTTATATTGGTAGAACATCAAAAGAAGCATAAACGTTACGAAATAATTTTCTTAGAACGTTTATCAATATAGTAACATAAAATTGCTTTACTATATTTTAATAATACTAATATTTGTATTTTTTAAAAATTTTTCTTTATTGTAACTGCGTGGTTGATGTCTTAAATTAATTACTTCTATCGGAAAAGAAGTTACACTTCAATGTTGAATTTTATATCGAATCTTTGAACAAGGTAATGAAAAGATATACCTCGCAACATATTCATGTTCGCTCTATTTACGAGATATCAACGCGATCGATAATTCGGTCATCGAGATGAATGGTGAAAGGTAAAGAAAGGAGATTACACGCTTGGGGCATTAACGGTATTCGTTACAGTTCTGTATCTCTCGCCGTTACAATGTGAATTTACCTACCTAATTTTAATTCACAGACATACATATATTATACCTAGACTGCTAACAGCGATGTGACAGGTGAAGCCAGGGCAGTCATTTACAATCGGACAGAAAAAAAATATATATATATATAGGTTGAGTTTATATATAATACACACTTACAATTAGATTCTTACATTTACTTACACATACACTTCCAATCTGCCCAATTGTAAATGGCTGCCCTTATTTCACATGTCACCATATGATACATTAGCCGTATTAGCCTAAGTATAATATATAGAAGTCTATGTTTTAATTAAACCAGATGATAACGAAAACACTTCTTTGAAATTAACACACTATTTTCAAAATTTATCTTATAAAAATGTAAAACATATCATTAGATTTTTTCAATTTAATTTCTAGCTGTATCGATTCAATTTTTAAAAGTAATCGTTAAAAATTCTTGGGAAACTTTTACAAACTACAAAAAATTGTGCAATTTTCAGGATGTGCCTATACGCTCATATAAACGTAAGCATGCTAATTTTATAGAGGTAACGACATTTTATTCATATAAATTTTCACGTTTGTATTTATCACTCTGGAATGCATTGCTCTTTAGTTTTTAATTTATTATACGGATTGATATTTGCCGACTTCTAAAATGTTGATAAATTTTATTGTTCGATTCAGAGTCATAATCTGGCACGCGGAATTTATTCAGATCCAAATCTGAAGGCAAAGAATTCATTTTTTAAAACAAGTTGATTATATTACAAAAATGAAATAAATCCATTGGAATGATGGAATTTTAAATTAATAGAGATATTTAATTTGTGATGGTTGAATACGGTTATAAAAAGGTAATTAGAAACTTACTATTTATCTTATATTATCTAATAATAATTTCAGAGTCATAAAATTATTTGACTAATTCAATAGTATATTAATATTGAGATGAGGTTCCAATTTTTCGTCCGATAAAATCCTTTTTTCTTTTAGAGATACTTTTTCTTTTACTAGAGATAATTTGCGGCTTGAGATTTCTGCGCGGCTTCCATTATTTACGGGAATTTGCATATATTTGTATACTCCAGCTATATGCAGTCTCTTGTTACAATCCGACTTGTGGATTTAGATATTGAAATAATTCTGATACGATTATTGGTAGGCAATGTACTTCCGTAAATGAGAAGCCATAAAACGTGTAGTGACACACGCATGTTACTGTTATCACACGGGCGTTGTACGATCATGTTTCTTGTGTAGAAATGAATGACTCATTGGGAACTATATGAATGAATAATATACGTGCAAAATGTGTGTATATATTTCCGCAATTTCCGTTAATGCTGTCTAAGCGAAAGCGTGATTCTTAACTATTTGGGTATGTGTATAAAACTTAACAATCTGTTATTAATGACTAATGATTAATAATTTCAAACGATAAACAATATAAGAATATTAATTTAATATCTTTGATGTTACTGGGCTTTTAACATTTAATATTATTTTATTTTTAAAGAAAATAAAAAGATCCTTCCTAAAAATTTTGCTTTAACAAAATCTGATAATTCAATGCCTATATAATATATCTTAAATTAATTACATAAATGCCATAAAAATGTGATATATTCATTAGTCTCAATTAAACTAATCATTGTATAATTTATTGTTTAGTGTTTTTTAATCTTTCTTTCTGGTATGAATTCGCCAAAACGCTTTACGAGAATGAGCTAGCTCATTAATTTTGGCATTAATTTCTGCTTTGACAGCGCTAATTTAGCAATGTATTAAGAGTGCTGACTCTTGCAGAATGTTTTTGTAAACCACAGCAGTATGATGTAATCGCGATGTTATGCCAAATTTTACATACGTTTCAATGGTGAAAATGTTGATTTTTGATAGATACGATCTGACTGGAACGAAGTTACTTTCTAACTTTTCTCGAAACTTCGTATTGATCGTATTCTGACTGTAACCCAGATTGTATTGGTTTCTATTCTCTGAGGTTGCTATACAAGCGAACGAGAAGGGTCAGCTCGAACTAGTCGTGCCCTTTGTTCGTCTACCAGAAGAAACCGGATACCAATGATTTTACGTACTGCTGGCGATTCAAAGAGTTACGTAATCGTATTAATAAATGTCGCAATTTAATCATCGAGCTTTTCGTATTTATATCGCCGTTCATTTATCCTTTTAGTATTATCAATTTATTATATCTCCCAAGAATTAAAACTGCTAAAAAAGAATCTGGAAAGACCAAGTAGGACTTTTATCGTATCATATATCAAGAAATATGTTTTCGTGATTAATTATGTTTTTCATTATTATCTTTCTTAGAGCAAAATATACTTTTTTGATGAGAAAAATATTTTGTGCATAAAGACTTAATATCCGGATGCTGTGCATAGGAATTGAGGGGGAGGTAAGAATCGTCGATCGTATGAAAGAAAAGTCCGTGTACGATCTCCTCTTCAATCGTCTATTTATATTTCAGGATTCCTACTGACATCCGATCGTACAGACACTCGCACGCGGGCTTGCGGCACAGCTAAGAGTTTCGAAAATTTAAAAATAACCTTCTATATCGTCGTAGGAGAGAACAGATATACGTGTAGAAATGGACAAAAATGCGTGTGTACAATCACGCATGTACGCAACGCGCCGGGATACGCGACTGTCACATTTTTCATTTTCGAGGATCGGCAATATATCTTCCCCCGGTTGGCATCTCGTTTTAATCGAAGAACTCGAAACCGTCAGAATCCCGGCAAGTAGGATCTTCGATCAGTCGTAATCACGGAAGGACAAATCTCTCTTGTCGGCCAGTTGCCGCATCTCTCCATCCTTTCGAGATGAAATTACACAGCTCCCTTTCGCGTGTCTACGGCATCCGATGAACCGAATTCGTCGACATTATACCGACTTTAATCGGCGGTCTTAACACTTTGATTGCCGATCGTTATTTTATCTTTCACTGCGAACGTACATTTTTACATTACGATGAAAGTCAGTTGACGTTCAAAATCAGCAATCAAAGTGTTAATTGCTAATTGCGCTCGCGAACGCAGCTTGCCGTGTGATGTTTCTTAACGAATTTCCCCCCTGCTTCCTTCTTGCCTTTTTCTCTTTCCGTTTTTTTTTTTTTTT